CAGGTCCCCAGAATTGCCAAGTTATCACTGTTTAGTTTGCTAACCAATATGTTACCGTAATTCTCTTCTGTGGCATAAATGACCCACAGTCCATTTTCATCAACAGAGAAATCCATATCAGTGTAACCATAGCAGTCATAGTAACAGTAAGGGAATTCATTGTTGAAACCAGCCTCGGGCAATTCTCTGTGCAGGATGACTTTTGTGTTTAGATCATATTTACACATGTTCCTTTTCTTAAAACAGTTATAATACAGAGAACCATTGTAAACCACAGACCCTGAACCCTGTATTGAATTAGTGACAGTTGCTGACGATGTCACGTGAAAGTCAGTGAAGGGCTTGTTCAGGAGGAACGGTTTGTAGGAAGAGTAGGTACGGATTGTGTTCCCATAAATTTTTGATGATGTCAGCACCATGACCCAGTATAATTCAGGGCTTCCAGGCATTGAGTCCATGCCCCAGGCTCCATAATGGTTTGCAACACCAAATGGGTTGACCTGCGCAGTTATTGGCTGACTGACACTGCGCAAAATTCCAGAGCAGTTCCCTGTAAGAAACAGAATTATAGTTTTAATTTTTAGAATCCCTTCTTTCGTAAAAGTTTTTCTGTCAATCTGAGTCAATCTACCCATCCCCTCCCTGTAATTCCAATTGGAGACCACCCACTCCCATCACTCCCCTTGTGGTTAATGTCTGTTGTGTAAGAACTCAGGAATGTATTAATACAGTAACTTCCTCCCTGCAATGTATAAAATGTGACATTACATCTATTTACCAGTGATCCAGAGATTACCCCAAAGAATAATAATAATATTTATATTTGATACTGTGGCTACAACATCAAAACATCTCACAGAGCAGCACAGGTAACTGCTGTAAAGTGTAGAGACTGTGAATTAAAGGAAGACACAGGAACCAAATTGCTCACAACAATGTGCCTACAAATAACCATAAAAGGAATGACCAATTTAACTGATTGGGCAGATGGGACTTCACTACAAGATCAGTCAACAATACAGCACTGTAACAACACTGCACTGGAATGTTCTCTTATCTGTGAGTTTTAAAGTTTTAATTCAACTGAGGATGTCTACTGTTAACCCAGAAATATCAGAGTATTATCAGCGTAGCCAGATGAATCTGTGCCTTGACTAATAAACATAAATTTCAGCAAACACCTAGTCAATTCAACTAACATGAATGAACTCACCAATCTTTGATTTGCCATAGACAGAGATACTCTGTATATAATCTTTCAAGTCTCTCAGGTGTTGTTTAATGGAGAGCAGGTTGAACTTATCATATTTTCCCATGTTCATTAAACTTTCGCGAGCATCAAGCAGCTGGATCAAAGATAGAGATTGTTAGAAAAAATTAGCCCACTTGTTTATGGCAAGGAAATGTGAATGGGCAAGTTTAGCATGTGAGGAGAGGGAGGGATGAGAACAGAGGGAGAGGGTGGAGAGGAAAGTAGATTGGTGAAGAGAAGCAAATGGTTGAATTCAGACTTAACTTTGAAGTCAGTTTTTTTAAGTTCTTACAGGCAAACAGTTTCAAAATTCTTAATTTTATTATTAAATTCTGGATGCTCTGAAGTGCTTTTTAAATAGGGTCTAGAGCAGTGGTGGCCAACCTTCTCCACATCAACAACTTGTATATGCATAGCCCCCCTCACGCAGAGTAGCATCCTATAGCATGAGTGTGAAGCATCTTGATCCAAATCAAAGGACCACAGCAATCACATGTGTTAGTATTGCTACAAATAGGTAAATTACTCTGAGTTTGTCTCACCTCATCAGAGAACTTTTGGAGTAAATTCTTGTTTGGTAAAGAGCTTTTCTGTGCATCAAGAACCTCTGAGCCAAGTTGCTTCAAATCCATGCGGAGAGACCACAGGTTGAGCGGGTGATACAGCATCTGTTTGTAGATCACTTCAAAATGCTGCAAGCGGGAAGATATGTTCTGCAGCTCGGTCCGAAAGGCTGGGATCCTGGATTTAGCTAAATCCACCTTAAAAGTTTCAAAATATCATCATTAAAAAGGCCAACCTAAGAAAGCTACAGTACAAATAATCCACAGCCTGACATTTCCCAGGATCTTAGTTTAATGTCATTGGTTTAAGTTTAAAATTGTGCCAAATTTGAGCAAGATCTAAATTTCCAACTTAACTTGGAAGCCAATTTTCAACAAATTCTTGGAACAGAAGTTAATAATAATAACAATAATAATCCTTGCATTTGATAGAGCGCTTTTCACGTCTTCCAGAAGTCTCAAGGCCCTTCACATTCCAAAGCTGTCCAAATTAATCCCACTCCCCCGATAGTCAATATGAAATTGGCACACAAAATCCACTGTGTGAGTGGTTTGCTCCTGCAATGCAAGAAGAGAAGAAGGTGGCAAGATTGGAAAGCCTTTCTTTTGAAGATCAGATCTAACAGGTTGAATCATGTGGACCTAAAAACTGTAACCTATTTGTGGGAGAAATAACCATAAATCAAGCTTCAGAATTACCAATATGATCATCTGTCATAAAAAAGAAAATTGAGGTCTCGAGTGACACATCTGGCCAAGTGACCAAAGGGATAACCTGGTAATGGGGCAGGGATGGGGTTCACAGCAGCTTAGAAGGAATATATCCCAAAGCAATGACATCCTGTGAATTGTGAGTGGAATGAAAAGAATCTTATCACTGTTGGTGTTTGTTCCTGCATTGACCATACCTGGGTTATCCTGCGTTCCCGAGCCTCGGTGCAGTTCTGTGACAGAACTTGCAGTTCTTCGAATTTTTCCACTGGAAATTCCCAATCGGAAAACGTTACTTTGCAGACGCATCGGTTGTCATCTTGGAGGATGCCACGGACACTCTGGCCAGCTGCTTCCTGCAACAGGTTCAAGGCACAGGCAGTGTCAATACTTCACGTTGGGGTACAATGTGCGGTATTTCTTAATGGGGTTTCTTAATCAGGGATCTGAGGCACTCAAATGGGGACTCCTTCCCTTAATCATAACAACTAACCTCACTGGGGACAGGGAATCATCCCTAACAGCTCTTGCTGGCCCTGCAAGCCAAAGCCCTTAAGGAGAGGGTGGTCCTAGCTGGACAAGGAGCGGGAAAACTTGTCAGACAGGGATATCAATGGCAAGCTGTATGGTTTTAGTTGGTTAGACTCCAGCAGTTATCTCAACTCACACTCTGGGGTCCCCAAGCCTTGGCTCTGGCCAACCTGTGTCTAACACTCTCCGGAATTAGGTAAACAGGATGCCTCCTTCCAGGGAAAGAGTGCACATTCCAATCCAACAATCTATCTCTGGAATTTCCACGTATTGGGATGCAGAGAATTCTCAGTTTGGTTTCAATACTCCTAAGTGTGGTGATGGGCTTCTGCATGTGTCACATACCCGGCTGAACAAAAAAACATTGCTGTCCCTACCCCAGGACTCTGCTCTGGTGCCATCTACCGGCAGAGTAGAGCTTCTGTGAGTTGACAGGATTAGGAATCGCTTTAGATACTTGGCTCTGTTCGTAAGAACTCCCACCTCTGGATCAGAAGGTTGTGGCGCTACATTGGGACGTTAGTGTGAACTGGCAGTTCCAGGGGAGGAGGCGCTGGATTGTTTGAAGTGAGGATTTTCAGGTGAGATGTTAAATTGGGGTCACATTCACCTTTTTTGCAGATGACCTTAAAGATCGTCTAACTCTATTGAAAAGAGAAGGGAGTTTCTACCGAATATCCTGGTCACTGACTCTCAGGACAAACTTTCGGCTGCTGAAGGCTGGATGCTGGATTTGAGAAATGTCCGTGGGCCACATAAGCAATAACAAAGTAACTGTTACATCATTTCACCATATTTTAGTTACAATGCAAACTATCAACAGGAAATGTAAAAATTCATACAAAATGAAAACAGTGATAAAGCCAACAACGAGGTACCTGTTTCTGTGTGTCTCTGTCTGTCTGTGTGCGTCTCCATTTGTCTCTGTCTGTCTGTGTCTCTGTATCTGTGTGTTGTATCTGTGTCTGTGTGTGTCTCTGTCTATCTGTGTGTGTGGCTCCGTATCTGTGTATGTATATCTGTGTGTGTGTGTGTGGTTGTGTCTGTGTCTGTCTCTGTCGATGTGTGTGTGTCTCTGTATGTGTGTATCTGTGGGTGTGTATCTCTGTGTCTGTGTGTGTTTCTGTGTGTGTGTATCTGTGTGTGTGTATCTATGTGTGTGTGTGTCTCTGTGTGTGTCTCTGTCTATCTATGTCTCTGTATCTGTCGGGTCGCAGTCGAGTCAGACCAAGTTTGAGCTCCAGGACATACAGTGCGACTGTATTTGCGGGTCGGATTGAAACCATCGCCGGGCCAGATGCGGCCCGCGAGCCGCCAGGTGGCCCACCCTGTGACCCACACCTGGACTGGAGAATTCATTTGATTAAAAACAGAGAGGAGACAAACATGTACAAAAAGAAATGGATTCACCTGGTGTCACCACATGCCTGGAAACAGGTGCATGTTATATGTAATACAGAGCAGCCCGTCCAAGCCCTGGGGAGGGGGTCCGATCAATGTTGGTTCCATTGAACACCTTTACTGATCTCTACACAGTAAATATACGTGAGAGAAATCAACACACCATCAGCCCCATGTTAGCCAGAGCCCCCACAGCTCCTCATCTCCACCACGACCGACTGGGACGTGCTATTTGGCAGTGGAGGATATAGCTCCCGAGTTAGTAACCAGTTAGTGGATTGTTTCTATCACAGTTAAACTTACACATCGGTGCCCAGAGCTGGAGGCTAATAGCAGAACTGCCCAAACCAGAGACTCCATCGTCCAAAGCTGCAGATCAACCCAACAGCAGATATTTATACAGAGGACGGGTCAGAAATTTGCATGGGAGAGAAAGAGGAAATAGAGAGTAGGGGAACAGGGGGGAGTTGAAACAAGAGGAGATATGTTAATACTTCTGAAGTGTTCTTCTTTGAATCATTTGAACCCCACGTGATATCATTGAACCCCTCATGTAACTGACGTCATGACAATACAACATAACTCCCATAATGCGACTCACCTACACACCAAAACTAGAAGTCCTTGAGATCACTCAGCAGGTCAGGCAGCATCTATGGAGAAAGGAAAGTGAGTCAACGTTTCGGGTCATTAACTCTTCATCAGAACTGACTAGTACTGCCATCCCTCACCTTCATGAGCACAATATTAGACGATAGGAACAGCAGTACCCCTTTCAGCCCATCAAGCCTTTCATGTTCCATCATTTTATCAGACCTGGACTGATCTGCACCTTAATACCATTACCCCGACCTATCCCCATACACCTTAATACCTTTGCCTACCAAATATTCATCCATCTCCAGTAAGTATTTCAGTTGAACATATCACTCCCCCAAAATGTTGCAGAGGGAACCGTTTCAGATTATGATCTTATGCAATATTTCAAATTGCAGGTTTTGCAGAATGCACATCACGTAACAAAATGTCTCTGACCACATTTGACCACACTTAAAACGCAGAGAACACACAAATTTGCAAATTTGCAATACTTAGCACGCCAACATCCTTGTTTCTTCCTTATAATACAACTATCAGCCCAAAATGTGCTGTAAGTCAATTGACAAAGTGCACAGTTGCTGAAACAAGATGACGTTTGAGCAAATGTAGACAGGACTGAGGTTCCCATTTTCACAACAATTGAGAAATGTTAGGAAATCTGGGGAATAACCAACACACCAGTATTTTCGAACTTTTCGTAAATCACGTTATTTTCTATTTCGAAATTGTACTTTTATTGTTTTCTGTGCACCTCATCACAAATGATCATTTATAATAATAATAAACCTTGCATTTAATATAGCGCTTTATCACATGTTTGAGATGTCTCAAAGCGCTTCACAGAATCTACTGTAGAGTCAATTGACTATATATATTTTGTGGGTGAAACATCATTGTCACATTACCTCGGATTTAAAGGCAGGTGTCAGCTTTAATCAAGGTGATGCAGTACTGACATCTACATTAACTGGCCCTAACCTTACTGTAGTAATCTTGTAACATTCACTTCCATGATTAAGTCTGAGCAATGTAGAGATTGTATTGAGCACAATGCAATTAATGGTGGTGAATTTGAACATGTGTAGGAGATGGTAAAATCTGTTAAATGTTTAAAGTACAGGACTCGAAAAAATCACATTATTAACTGCAGCAATATTGAAATAGCATATTCACATATAACGCAACAAATGATTTGAAGCACTTTGAGACGTTCAATGACATGACAAGACCATATGAAATGAAAGGATTATTATTAAGTATTATTATCAACAGATCCAGGTGTTAAAAAGTAGAAATCATGAATGTATCCTGCATCCTTCTGCGAAACTCTACTTTTTGGATGAGACATTAAAATCAACATGTTCTCTCCCTGTTCTTCATTAATGATTGCTCGCACTAAATAGAGCAGGTAGTTTCTCCCTGTGACCCTGCCAACAATTCTACAGATTGATTGATCTTATAGCTCTTCGCTGTTTGTGAGTCCTCGCTGACAAAAGTCACTTTGTTTGCCTGCAAAAAAGTAATGACACAGTAGTTACCCTTCAATACCCTTTGAGAAATCTGAACAGAACAAGGAATGAAAAGATTCATGATCACTTGTGCTGATTTTTAAAAAATTTCCCAGGCACGTTTCCTATCATTTTCTTCGCATGAACTTTTGGTAGTTTGAAATCAACGTCTCAGCTTTTCTCTCTTCTGTGCCTCAAATATGTGTGACCACATGGCCTCCAAAACTATACAATGGACAGAATCTTCCTGAGACTCAAATTCCTGAGATAATAAGCAATCAGGTCCTTGAGCATAGATGTAAGAACAATGGTCCCCAGAAAGAAAAGGCTGCAGCCTCAGACACCTGCCTATCACCTGCTTATCATGGTTGCATACTCCACCTTAGGCCAGTCCAGAACCTTGGGGTCTTGTTTGACCCTCAACTACCCTTTCTACCCCGCATCTGCACCATGACCCTCTCTGCCTTCCCCCAACTCCGCAACGTCGCCCAGCTCCAACATTGTTTCACACTGAAGGCCGCCGAAACCCTCGTACATGACTTCAGTACATCGAGGCTCGACTATGCAAACTCACTGCTTGTCGGCCTCACGAACCCCTCCCTCTATAAGCTGCAGATCATTCAGAACTCTGCAGCCCGTGTCCTCTCCTGCACCAGGCTCCGTGACCCCATCACCCACATCCTCGCCCAACTCCACTGGCTTCCCATCACACAGAGGATACAGTTCAAGATCCTGGTCCTCACCTTCAAAGCCCTCCACGGTCTTGCTCCCACCTTACCTCTCCGACCTCCTAACCCCCTACCACCCCGTTCGCTCCCTCTGCTCAGAGGGCTCCGGCCTGCTTCATGTCCCCTGCCTTGCTCGCCCCTCTATTGGTGGGCGGGCCTTCCACCACTCTGCACCCACCCTCTGGAACTCCATCCCCAGTCCCTCCGTCTCGTCCCCTTTCTCGCCATCTTCAACATCCACCTCAAACCCTCCTATTCGACCAGGCTTTTAGTCTCTCTGCTTCACTCCCCGCCTTCCACCCTCCCCTACTCCGACCCCCAGCTCGGGTCCGTAACTCTGTCTATCCAGCGCCTTAGGACGGCCTCCTGATGTGAAAGGCGCCATACAAATGTAATTTGGTTGTTGTTGTTGTTGTATCTCAAGGCTGATAAACAAGCAGGCTGTGGAAGGCTGCCCAGAAGTTGTCCATATCTTTCTCTGCAAAGCAGCCTGTGAGGAGTGGGGGCTGTCTCTGTGACCAGAGGAGGTGGAGAGAAACACATAAAAGAAAGATGTAACTTTGCAATAGTTGGAGTTGTGTAGAGGGTCAGCGCACTTCACAGTGAATTGATATTGATTCTACTGTATCTGTGTACATGTACAGTGGTGAGGGAATTTACCTCCAGTAAGAAAGTGACCATTAAAAGTGAATGAGGAGGAGTAGTGAGGTCCGTAAGGAAGGAGGGCTTTCTCCAGTTGGAGTGGTGGTGGATTGTGAGAGTTCCAGGAGTTGTTTCCGATGCTCAGAATTGAATCGTCTAAATATGATTGTGATTCTGTCTGTTTCTTAGTATTTCCATATAAGGGATACGGTGTATCCCTATTCTGTTCAAACGTTCATAAAACCTATAGTTGAAAGTGACGCGGTGTCAAGTAAATTTGCCTACAAAGCCCTACATTGGAACTTGGACCTCACAGAGTCGAAGCTGACACTTGAATGCACTGCTGTGGGTGTGTTGCATTGTTATAGGTGCAATCCTTTGGATGAGATGTTAAACCATGTCGCCATCTCTGAAGCACTTTGAAACGTCTCAACGACGTGATGAGGTGCTATAATAATAATAATAATAATCCTTGCATTTGATATAGCGCTTTTCACGTCGGGAGGACGTCCCTTGCATTTGAGTTCAATTCCAGGCAGAGGGCGAAACCTTGGGCAAGTTTCCTTACTCCACACAGAGCCTAATAATAATCCCTCCAAAACCCAAAACAATAATAAATTGGTCATTTTCAATCTACGACTGTTTGTGGGACATTGCTGTGCGCAATTGGCTGCCGCGTTCGCCCACAAATATAGTCAATTCACTTTACAGTGTGTTCTATGAAGATAACTTTCTCCAGCTCAACGTGCGCAAAACTGAGGCCCTCCTGATTGGCTCGCGTTAGCGCCTCCGCACCTCAGGCGCTGACAGCATCAGCATCCAAGGCTGCACTCTCCACCTCTCAAAGCCAATAAGGAACCTCGGCGTTCTGTTCGACCCTGAGCTGTCCTTTCTTCCTCATATCCGCACCACAACTGGCACCGCCTTCCATCACCTCCGGAATGTCGCCAGACTACGGCACTACCTCACCCCTCACGCGGCTGAAACACTGGTCCACGCCTTTATCACCTCAAGGCTGGACTATGGGAACTCTCTCCTCGACGGCCTTCCCGGCACCTCCCTCCACACTTCAGGTCATTCAGAACTCTGCAGCTCGTGTACTGTCCCGCACTAGACACCGCAACCACATCCCTCTCACCCTCGCTCGCCTCCACTGCCTCCCCATCCCCCAGAGGATCGAATTCAAGATCCTCAACATCACCTACAAGGCCATTCACGGACTCGCTACCTCCTACCTCTCCGACCTACTGTCCCCCTACCTACCTGCCCGTACCCTCCGTTCCTCTGGCTCCGGTCTGCTCCGCATCCCCCGCCCCAACCGCCCTACCATCGGTGGCCAGGCCTTCAGCCTCTCAGCCTCTAGGCTCTGGAACTCTATCCCCCAGTGCATTCGCCGATTCCTCCCTTTCCTCCTTCAAGGCCGGTCTCAAGACCTTTCTCTTTGACCGTGCCTTCAGCTCCCCTCTCGACTCTCTACCCCCTCCTCGCTCCCCTCATCCTGACCATTTCCCCCCTGCTTGGGTCCTGACCCAACTGTACAGCGCCTTGGGACGTCCTCCCGACGTGAAAGGTGCCCTATAAATGGAACCTTGTTGTTGTTGTTCTCCCTATCCCACTCCCAAACTCTAGGTCTGCTTCAATTTCTCAATCCCACCCTCTCTGCCATCACCTCCATCGCTTTCTCCCACCATCTGTTGCCCTGACATTTTCCGCTCCCTGTCCAGCTTTGCACCCCTCTCTTCCCAAGTCCCCTCTCTTCCCAAGTCCCATCTCTGGTCCCTGATCTGCCCCAATCTGTCCCCTGATTTGATCTCTCCTCAATTGGGTTCATGGCTCCACAACCACCTGGTCCTGTCCATGACCCCAACTCCTCCTATCACAGCTGTCTCCTACCTCACCCATTGGCTCACCTGACCCCGCCCCGTATTCCATAGCCACGCCCCTCTTTCCATAGGCCCCGCCTTTCCCGTGTAGCCCCGCCCCTCCCTCCCTCAAGGCTTTAAGACCCACCAGCTCCTCTCTTACTGGGAGCTGAGCGGAGACATGGCTCTGTGCAGCTTCCTCTGCAAAATCGGGCTCTGCTTTTTATTGCAATCCGCTGTCAACGTAAGTACAAAGGGCTTCTGTACCTGCGTCGCCAGTAAAGAATAACATAATATCAAAGATGATAAAATAATAATAATAAATACATTCGACTGATTTGACCTGTAGCAATTCTTGCTGTGGTTGAGTTGCTTCGCTCTGTGACCCATGTGATGTCTCATTGCCTAACAACTGCGATGCTCTTTCAGGCGGTGGGATCTGTGGGCAGGTCGAGGGTCGCCCAGAGGTGTTACTGTGATCTGGAAGTGCCGGACGGGCTATTCCCTGTGCAGCAGCTAAATGAACTACACAGGCTGTGTGTCAACTGCACTCGCACGCTCGCTGGCCAAGAGGTGAAGTATCGTAACCGACCCTCGCCCCACAACACAATCCATCTCTGGGGAGATCTTGTAAACGCTGTGGGACTAAAGTAGGGATTCCCTCCGAATCCCAGATCATTTCATAGCTCGTATTCCAAGATCATCCCTTGAGAGCATCAATAATTGATAAGATCAATAAGATATGATTTAACCTTTCAGTGCAAACGTGTCGAATGCTAATATCTTCTGATTGATTACTTTAATCGTCAGTGTGCAACTATTTGTGCAACTATTTGGTTGCTCTATTCTCCTCGGAGTGGGTTTAAGCCTGTAAATGGGGGAGGTGGAGAGTGTGGGTGAGAGTGAGTGAAGTCCAACTTCCCTAAAGTTTTTGGCATAGAATCATAGTCTCAAAAGAATTTTGGAAACTTTGGGAGTTTGGAAGCAGTTTCTTTTTTAAGAACAAACGAGCAGAAAACCATCAATGTTTCCAAATGAAGCAGAATTAAAGGAGGATTAATATAGTCCATTGGTGAGTCCATGCAAAGGGACATAAAAATTACGTAGTCAATAGGGTGTCCAAAAGGTAGCTATCCTATTATCCCCCCAAAAATCATCATTTTGTTAAGACTTATTAGAGATTGTAATGGTTTCACAAATTTTTTTTCACCCTATAGATCTAAATGCGAATTTGGGAGGACCTTCCTTAGCGAGGAGGGTAATTAAGAATGTGGAACTGAATGCTGGTGTCCTTGGTTGTAACGGAAAGCATGAAGGCATTTAAGAGGAAACTTAATCTTTACATAAGGGAGAAGGGAATAGTGAAGTATGGGGGAGGCCGGGGTGGGGGAGGAGGGGTTAGGATGGGAATGGAGGTTTGTGTGAATAACAATACAGACTAGTTGGGCCGAATGGCCTCTTGTGGCGCTAGGTTCCCAGTAATTTTATGCCCAATGGTCTTAAGGTTAAGACCAAGGGAAGTTTTGGACGTCTCAGCTCTTACTCACAGCTTCTCTCTGAGAGCATCAATATTCATTATTTAGTTTTAATAAGAATCATCCTTCTGTTACCACACTCCCGCCCCACCCCTACCCTCCCTGCCTTCCGCCGCTCTTAATACGAAACCCCCAGCTCAGGTCCAAATCCCTGCCTGTCCAGCGCCTTGGGACATCCTCCCAACGTGAAAGGCGCTATACAAATGCAATTTGTTGTTGATGTTGTCGCTTTGATTTGATTTAATGCTGATGTGCAGACTTGTTAAAATTTCAATTCATTCTTAAAGAGAAATATGCATTTTCTGATTAATTGTCAGTTTGACAAGGCTGTGGATATCGTGGTCAGCCTGGAGCAGAGGCTGACTGACCTGCAGCAACGCATCAATGAATTTGAAGAAGAATACGAAGGTGGACTGTACAGCATCATTTCATTCCGGATAATAGAGATCGAAATCACTGAGCTCCACGACTTGTTTCAGGAACTTCAAGAAAAGTACACGAGCAACCAAAATGATTTGAGTGGGCAGATTGTACAGGTGACTGGACTGGAGATGGCTGGGGTTCAGAGGGGAGTAATGGAGAGTAAGAAATGCAAGGAGGAAGGATGTAATAATAATAATAATCCTTGCATTTGATATGGTGCCTTACCATGTCATTGAGACGTCACAAAGCGCTTCACACAATATTCTATCAAGTAAATGACTGTATATTGTGTGGGGCATATGCTGCAGTCAAATGCCCACAGCAGTGTCCCACAAACATTCGTGGATTGTGTGTCCAATTAATTAATTTTGGAGGGATCATTAGCGCAGGAAAGTAATACGCCAATCGACTAACAATTGGGTTCTTACTTATTGCGAGGTGGAGAAGGAAACTTGCTGAAGGTTTCGCCCTCCCCGGGAAACTGACATTTTTACAGTACCTCATGTTGAAACAGCTTAAAGTGCTCTATACTATAGTAATTACTGTGTGACTGTTTTAAGGGGCAAATTTTGCACACAGCGAGGTCCCACAACATAGGCCGTGAAGTGAATGGTCAATTCACACGGGGAGGGGGCATTATGGCCAGGACACTGGGAGAAATACCACCCTCTTTTTCAGTAGCTTTAAGACATTTTTATATGTCCCCCCACCATGAAGAACAGGCAGATGGGACCTTGGTTTTTAATGGTTCATCCAGTAGCATAAGCTACGGCAGCCTTTACATTATGGGGGGAGGCTATTCCCCCCTTTTTCACCCTCCCCCACCCCCCACGGCTCGCCCCACGGCTCACCCCACCACCACCATCCCACTGTCCTGTAGTACACAGGAATGATGTTACAGTCACTGTTATGGTGCTCCGTACAGCATGACACCAATTGCTTAACACAATCAATTGATCTACCAGATTGTTAACATCACCGACCGTGTGGACGAGCTCCAGAAATATGACCGGCAGAATGTAGTCCAAGAGCAGAGAGAGAACGCCAGGCTGAGAAGGAGTCTGTCTTCTTGCAACGATGAGCTCTTACGAACAGTTGCTCCACCTACCACCCCACATCCAGGTCAGTACAGTACAGGAGGAGCTATCCTTTACTCTTCAGTACACCACTGTTTTAGTTCCTTCAAAGTTCCTCATTTAGGTATCTGAGCACCTGTCCTTGAGAAAGAGAGGAGGAAGCTATGTGTTTGGGGATCCTATCCTGCTAGATTGAGCTGGGATGTCTCCTTTCATAATTGCTTTTCCTCTTCTAATTTCTCCCCAGAGAAGCTCCCTCGGAATTCTTTTAGAAAAGAGAACTGGCATTTTTATAGGTCCTTATTGCGTTGAAATGGTGCAAAATGTTTTATGGCTAAAAATTGTTAGTTGTATGTAATTACACTTGTAGGTAAACTTAACAGCTAATAGCATCTACAAGGTGTTATGAGGTGTTTAAGATGATAAAGGGATTCAATAGGGTAGATACAGAGAAGCTATTTCTTCTGGTGGGGAATCCAAAACAAGGGGACATCGTCTTAAAATTGGAACCAGGTCATTTAAGAATGAAATCAGGAAGCATTTTTACACTCAAAGGGTGGTAGAAATCTGGATCCATTCACACCTTCAAGAGTGAGGTTGATAGGTTTTTGGTAGGTCCGGGTATCAAGGGATATGGGGAGAAAGCGGGAAATTGGAATTGACAGGATTAGTTGAGGTACAGATCAGCCATTATCTAATTGTATGACGGAACAGGCTCGAAGGGCTGAATGGCCTCCTCCTGTTCCTATGATGGCCGTTGACATTGGAAGAGACTTCCCTCTTACTTTACATACTCTTGTCTCACTCTGTGAGCTGGCAAATTTGTGCCATATTATGGATAGTTCTGCACATGCACTTGGCTATCCCAATCTAATGCCACTTATAACCCCTACAGTTGTCATAAGGTGGTTTACTTTCATCCCACTTGACTGGGTTTGATCTAAGCCAGGAGCAAGAGATGAAAAGAAAATATGCTTAACCCAAAGAGCCCTCCAATTTAGTGAATTATTAACCTTTTCAAATAAGGCACAGGCTTAAATTCCATCATAAGAAAATGAATCCATGTGAACTTCTGATATCTTAGCCTCTGCTGGAGAGTAATATATGGACTCAGGAGATTTGAAATTTATAAATAATTAGGAAGGTCTACTGGATTTTTGGGGGCTACAATTACCCTATCTTTCTTTCTTAGTTCCCATATCAACCTGTCCGCTCCCTCCGCTCAACAGGTTTTCGCCTGCCCCACCATCGGTAGTCGGGCCTTCAGCCTCTCTGCCCCCACCCTTTGAAACATCCCACAGTCCGTTCGCTTTGCTTGCTCCCTTGCCTCCTTCAAGGCACATCTCAAGACCCTCCTCTTCGACCGCACCTTTTGTCCTCCACCCCTCTTGATCCCAACCCCCGGCTCAGGTCCAAATTCCTGACTGTCCAATGCCTCTGGACGTCCCCTTGAAGTGAAGGGCGCTGTGTAAACGTAATTGGTTGTTGTTTTTAGACAAGTCTTGTCCCCTGCAAAGGCTCGTTGCCCAAATGACACAATTTGTTTCTGTTTCTAACAGGTTCTTGTTCATTCGGTGCTTTGCGGGGAGTTTCTGAACCCAGGAGCTCAATCCTCAGCCATTATGGTACTTCTTACTTTTATGGCGGCTGGGGGAACGATCCATTGCCGGCAGCTGGTAAAGAGAATCAATACTGGTTAGCAATCATGCTGAAAAGTAACTATTATGGAAATGTAATTCGTATTTACCCTTCTTTTGGCACATTCCTCAGTAAAACCTCTCACACCGACGTGACCATCCCGGGCACCCATATCCAGGGCACCGGTGGGATAATGTATGAAAACTGCTTCTATTTCAACTGCTACAATTCACCAAAGCTCTGTAAGTTCAATATGACGGCAAAGACTGTTCTGTCCGACGACCTCCCATTCGCAGGTCACAACAACAAGTTTCCATACTGCAGGCCCTCTTCCTGTTTACTGTACACGGACATAGACCTGGCAACTGATGAAAACGGTCTCTGGGCACTGTATGCCACTGAATCCAACTTCGGAAACACGGTCATCAGCCTGGTCAACACCAGTGACCTCTCACTGATTAAGTCCTGGAACACCACCTTGTATAAGAAATCAGCAACTAACGCCTTTATGGTGTGTGGGGTGATGTATGCCACCAGGTTTTTCAGTGATGAAATGGAAGAAATCTTTTACATGTTTGACACAACAACAGAAGTTGAGTTGAACAATTTGAGCATCCGTTTCCGAAAGGTGTCCTCTGGCATTCAGCACATAAATTACAATCCCAGGGACCAGAAGCTGTATGTGTACAGTGATGCATTTCTTGTTACACACGACATAATATTTGGATAAATTTGATTTTCTTCCAATTAAAAAACCATGCATTGCAAAGTCTTTGTCCATTTCTTTGGATCACTGTGGGAACACCTCACACGTTTTAAAATAAAGTAATAATAATCCTTATATAATCCTTCAATTTGGTATAGCGCCTTATCACGTCTTCGAGACTTCTCAAAGAGCTTCACAGTATATAGCTTCACAGAATGACTAACAACCAGGTTCCTACTTACTGCTCGGTAAACAGAAGCGTGTGGAGTAAGGAAACTTTCCCAACGTTTCGCCCTGCCGGGAATCAAACCCAGGTCCTCTCGCTTGCAAAGGGAGTGCTCTGAGCAACAGGACTCCACAAACTGTATATTTTGAGGGCGAAATGCAGCAGCCAATTGTGCACAACAGTGTGCCACAAACAGTCGTGGTTTGAGTGACCAAGTTATTATAATAATTAGTAAACAATCTTTTACCAAAAATCAAAGGAATCCTAAAGTTTCAGGAATAAGAAATTCTATGTGGTTCTCGTCTTTCAGATTGTGCACATTTTAGAGATGACCCTATAGTCATTTCAGCTTAACTGGTTAACTGAAATCTACCAGGGAGGCTTGCAAGAAAGTTTTTGTCTCCAACAATCTTTTCAGTTAGCTGGGTATAGTATTATATTTCAGATATCTTCCCCCCAACCCCCCCAAAAAAATGTTCTTACCCATTCTCCTTTCGTGTCTTGATTTTGCTGAGTGGTCATTCTTCCTGTGTGAGCTTATACAGTGGATATTGAGAATACAACAACAATTTATATAGAGCCCCTCATGCAAGGCAGCTTCCCAGAGAGCTTGACAGTGGCGGAGCACGACCCGAGCCTGGGGGGAGGGGAAGATGATTTTAGGCACGGTCGAAGAGGAAGGTCGTCAGACACAACCTGAAGGTGGGGAAAGGGGGACAAGGTGGGGAGATAGAGGAAGAGTGTTCCAGAGTTTGGGGGCGTAGTGGCTGAAAATGCGGCCACTGATGGAGGGTACGTGGAACAAGCAGAAGGCCGGAGCCAGTTGAGTGTAGGCAGTGGGTAGTGGGCTGGAAGTAAGCAGGTCAGAGAGGTAGGGACAACAACAACAATATTACATTTGTATAGCGCCTTTCATGTCGGGAGGATGTCCCAAGGCAGTGGACAGTCAGCGTTTCGCCCCGAGCTGAGGATCGGGACTGGGGAGTTTGGAGGGGAGGGGGGAAGAAGGGTGATCGAAAGCACGGTCGAAGAGGAGGCTCTTGAGATGGGTCTTGAAGGATGCAAGGGAGGGGGCGAGGAGGAGCGATGCGGGATGGAGTTCCAGAAGGTGGGGGCAGGGTGGCTGAAGGCCTGCCCGCCATTGATCTGCAGCCTATGGAGGGAGGAGTTGGGTAGGCTGACAAGCAAGGAGTTTGCATAGTTGAGCCTCGATGTTATGAAAATGTATGAGGGTTTTGGCGGCCTGCGGTGTGAGACAGTGGCAGAGCCGGCCAATGTTGCAGAGGTGGGGAAAGGCAGAGCAGGACATGTCACGGATGTGGGGTAGAAAGGATAGTTGATGGTCAAACAAGACCCCAAGGTTCTGGACTGGCTCAGTGAGGTGGAGTGGCATCCATGGATGGTGATGCTGTCAGCGCCTGAGGTGTAGAGGTGATGACAGCAGCCAATCAAGAGAGCCTCGGTCTTATTGATGTTCAACTGAAGAAAGTTAGCTTTCATCCAGGACTTGATGTCTCACAGACATTCTGTCAGGACAGCAGTGGTCCTGAGTCAAGTGTGGAAGCAGAGAGGTAGAGTTGGGTGTCATCCGCATACATGTGGAAGTTGACCCCGTGTCTGCGGATGATGTCATGAAGGATGCAAGGGGAGGGGACCAAGGACAGAGCCCTGAGGAACGCTGCACAAGTTGGTGTGGGGGCTAGAGGAGAAACTATTTGTGAAGATGAAGTGGAGACGGTGTGAGAGGTACGATCTGAACCATTCAAGGACAGAACTGTAAAGATTGAGACGAGGTGGTGGATGAAGATAGAATGGTCAACAGTGTCATAGACAGCAGCGAAGTCAAGGAGGACGAGGAGGCAGAGGGAGCCCTGGTCGCAGATGGACAGAATGCCATTTGTCATTTGATCAGGGCTCTTTCTGTGCTGTGGGCGGCCCGGAAACCCGATTGGAGGAGTTCATGAAGGGAGTAGCGGGAAGGGGCAAAGCTGCGAAGCAACAACTCATTCCAGGATCTTGGAGAGGAAAGAGAAGTTGGAGATGGGGTGGTAGTTTGAGAGCAGGAATGGGTCTAGGGATGTTTTTTTAAGGATAGGAGTGTTGTTTTTAAATGGGTGGGAATGGTACCAGTGGACAGGGAGAGGCTTATGATATTTGTGAGTAGAGAGGCAAGGAGATGGAGCTGGGAGGTAAGGAGAGGGTAAGGATGGGGTCGAGGGAGCAAGGTGCCAGGAAGGTGTCAGTGCATGAAGGGATACTGTATTCAACTCGGGGTAGGCAAAGGGGGTCGGACAGCAAGACCCAATGGCAATATACAGGACTGTAGAGTGACTCTACAGCCCAAAGGGAACTAAGATCAACTGCAATGTCCCCATCTGAGACCAGCTAACACAGCACGGATCAGGGAATAAACCTGAGATCTTCCTGGTCAGCATGACTCAGCTCCACCTGAGCCCCGAGTTGTTAATTCTCAAAGGAAAAGCATAATCATCGACTATTTCTACTTCAATGTTTATTTAGTATGTGCTCCTAATACCCCGAATCCTTCAATCCAACAAATATTTCTAGCAATGCCTGACCCAGCAGCTGTAGTCTCTAAGCATCCTATTCAAGTGTATCCCACGATGTGTCCTAGTACCAAGGACGCTGTAAGGAAGTACGGCTGTAAGAGAAAATGTACCATTACAGGCAGTTCCGGAGACTTGGGAATCACTGTACACTGTACAAACAGTGCACTCACCACATTTTTGAATTGGGTTTTTTTTCTAAAATCATAGTGGTCACAATTGAAGCATTCCTAAATACATTCCATATTCAAGGAACACTCTCCCTCAATCCCTCCACCTTGCCCTCTCTCTCCCCTCTTTCAAGTCCCGTCTGAAAATGTTCCTCTTCGACCATGCTTACCGGCCATCTCCCCCCCCCCCCCCAGGCTCGGAGTCAGGCTCCGCCAGTGTTAAGCGCTCTGAGACACTACCCTGTGTGGAGGGCGCTATATAAGTGCAAGTTGTTGTTGTTGGAACAGGCTCCCTAGGGAGACGGTGGAATCAGAATGTGGCGATTCTTTCAAGAAGAAATTAGATAGATATCTGTTCGGAAATAATATCAGTGAATGATTTGACACATGTGCAAGCGACTGCCAGGATGCTGGAAGGTGAACTGGACGGACTTTGGTTTCCTTTCGTCCAGCGAATTCTCATGTTCTTAAAAACAGTCAAACCTACCTGAGCGCTGTGGTAAAGGATCTGTGTTTGTTTCTGTAGAAATAAAAGGAACTTTAAGTGAGAGCCACAGATGTAAACCCCGAGAAAACTTTGAACAAAGTAATGGTTACTCACAGAGTGCTGACTGGGATGGGCATCTGGTCATATTGGGTGAGAGTTGGCTCCGATTGCAAGGAGTACTGAAACAGGAAATATACAATGATTTACATTCAAAGCCAGCAGGACAAGAAAAGAGAAATTAGAAGGAAAGGGAATCAAACGTTGACTCTTACCCTCCAGGATTGAGTGACATTGGGTTTCAGATATCTGACAGCGTAGCCCGAATAGTGCAACTCTGAAAACATATCATCGATAATCAGAACACATTGGGGTAAAAATACCACTAAATTATCATTAATAGTCAAAGACATATCGGCAAAAATTCAGTTCAGCAATATGTGCAGTGGCTTTGCAGACGTCAGCCTCTAATGGCAATGCCTATTATAATCATTCATCATTTTATAATAATAATAATAAAAATTGGGTATAGCACCTTTCAAACTGGGACACGTCTGAAAGCGTCTGTCAGGATACGCTGCAAAGTGTTTTTGACTGTGTGCTTTGTGGACAAATGCGGCAGCCAATTTTGCGCACAGCAATCTCCCACAAATAGTCATGAATTGAATGACCAAGTTTTTTATTTGGGGGATTGTTGAGCAGGACACCGGGACATCCTTCTCTTCTCTTTTCAAATAGTTCCACAAGATCTTTGATGTCGAATGGAATTTATGACCCCATGGTCTCTGTGTTTATTTGATTGCAATATTTTCCTGCAGTGTTCTATACTGTAGGAATTATTAATGATAATTATTACATTTTATATAGAGACTTTCGCATCGCAAGGACGTCTCAGAACACTTTACAGGATTTACTGTAAAGTGTAGTGACTGCATTTTGTAGTTGAACGTGACAGCCAATTTGCACACAGCAATATCCCACGAAGTGGGATGAAGTGAACAAGGATTGCTTTAATTATAAAAAATTGGTGCAGGGGTGAGGAGGGGGATGCAAATCTTATTTAAGGGATTGGTTGGCCAGGGCAATGGGGGAGAAACCTGCCTTCTCTTTCTGAATAGTTATTTTTTGAATAGGTCTAGCATTTTCTGCAGATTTAAAGGGTTTGCTTGTGTGCAATGTATTTGTTGAGTTCAGAGCCGGTGCTAGTGGTTTCTCCCACAAAAATGCAAGAATTATTTTACGATGACACTAATAATCCTTGCATTTGATATCATGCCTTATTATGTCTTTGAGACATCTCAAAGAATATACTGTAAAGCAAATTGACTGTATATTTTGTGGGCGAAACGCGGCAGCCAATTGCGCACAGCGGCGTCCCACAAACAGTCGTGGATTGAATGACCAAATTAGAATTTTTATTTATTTTGAAGGAATTATTAACTACGGGAAAAGCAATCCGCTAAACGACTAACAACCAGGTTCCTACTTATTGCTAGGTAAACAGAGGCGTGTGGAGTAAGGAAGCTCGCCCAGTGTTTCGCACTGCCGGGAATGGAACCCAAGTCCTCTCGCTTGCGAGGTGAGTGCTCTAACCACTAAGTT